ATATTTTACTGTGCAGATTTGGGACCTGTCCCTCCAGTATTTTCCACATGTATAATATTTGGTATCTCTCACGTCTCCTTTCTAGTGAGTACATTTGAAGAGCTTTGAGACGATCTCAATAATTTAGGTGCTTTATCTCGTCTATGCGTGCCGTATATGTTCTCTGTATTCCATCTATTTCAGCAATCTCTCCTGCTCTGAAGGGGGAAGTGAGTACTGAGCAGTACTCATGACGGGACAACACAAGTTATTTGAAGAGTACAACCATTGTGATGATCTCTGGACTTGTAGGTTCTCGTAATCCATCCTATCATTTTTCTGGCTGACGCAATATTTGCTTGGTTATGCTCCCTAAACGTTAGATCGTCGGACATCATTATTCCCAAATCCTTGACATGCTGTTTTCCTACTATTGGCAGATTCGATTGTGTTTTGTACCCTGTATTATGTTTAAGGTCCTCATTTTTGCCGTATCTGAGTACCTGGAATTTATCACCGTTATTTTCATTCCAATCGAAAACTTTGTTAATGTCTGTAGTTTTTCAATGTCTTGAGCAGAGATAATTTTCATGTTGGTTTTTGTATCATCTGCAAAGGATGACACGAAGCTGTGACTTGTATTTTTCTCTATATCTGATATGAGAATAAGGAACAACAGTGGTGCAAAGACTGTACCTTGAGGTACAGGACTTTTAACTTGGAGGACCGAGGACCGGGCCGTGGGGACGCTAAGCCCAGAAATTATCTCGAGATAACACACATTCCCCCTCCCGCCTACACACTTTCCTCCATAGGATTTCAGTTTACACTCGCTGGGAATTCAAATCTGACTTATTTATACTATGAAAGTCCACCCCCTTGGCACCACCAAGGGCCTATCCTGAGGGAGAAGACTGCTAGGCCTACCATGACCATGAATTACCAAGGATGGCTTCACCCCCAAAGTCAGGTCACTGGTCAGACACACCCTGACACTGGGGTGTGGTCTTTCAATGATTGGCTGTTTTCTTAGGAGGGGGAGGTTATCTTGAATTGTGACTGGAAGAGCCCTGTCCCAAGACCCTGTCTACACATTAATCACCGGGCTTGTTGTTCCACTAAGCCAGAGTGCCTGAGATCACTGGGATCATGCTCTGGACCTTCCCCATCCTTTCCAAACCCTTTGGACATCAAAGCTAAAGGAGTTTTTTTATATTATTATTATTTTCTACCACAAACGTGCTGTTGGAGTGGGGAGTGGGAGTGACAACTGATAAGGAGTGGAAGACAACTGGGAATGGCTGTGATTAGCGATGTTTTCACAGATCAGTGACTCTGACCCTTATATAGCTGGGGACGTGTAACTCCAGAAGGGTAACCCTGACAAACCATATTTCATGCTGTCAACTGTATTGGCTTACATTGTCCCTCACGAACTCAAGAGAGTTGTGAATCTGAAACTACCCCACCAAGGTAGTTTCCGCCAGAAACCTCTCAAACTCCAGCACCTAGCCCCAGGAATATCTGGCATGGCAGGTCCAGTACTTGAGACAACAGTGGGGAAGGGAGGTCTGGAGTGTAGGAATGCTATACATCTTTGGATCAAAGCCACAAGAGGCTCCATGTCCCAGGGATTAATCACATAACCCCTCTGACTTACAAGAGGTCCTAGTACACACCAGCATGAGAGGCAATGGCGCATAGCAACAACAGAGGCGCATTACAATGTAAGGATAATGCGTTGTGGCATTTACTGTGAGAGTGGAACCTGAGCAGTGTAAGAGGGTGACACTGTAGATGCAGTATCATGCGGCCACTGGACTGCATCACAGCTGCTGCATGCCTCTCCGCCAGACATTTGCTTCATTTCTTATTTTGTCTGTTTATAACTCTACTCCTTCAGGAACACAGCCCTTGAGTCGCCCCTGGAGCTTGTTTGCTGCCCTCATGCTCTTCCTCCTTCCCCTCTACCCCCAGCTTTCCCTTTCCCTTCCTCCCCCCTTCCCTGCTCCCTCGCCTCTTCCCCCTCCCCTCCTCCCTGCTCCCTCTCCGCTTCCCCTTCTCCACCACTGTTTCCCCCTTTTTTTTCAGTGCCTGGAAAAAATAAGCTCAGTAGCACTAGTAATATGCTCGAGCCCTAAGAAAAAAAAGGAAGAGATGCGAACGGGAACGGCGTTCCCTCTATGAGGCGAAGGAAACGAATCGCGGAAGAATTTGTCACACCCTGACTCAAGAACTACGAAGAAGGCTAGGTAGAGAAATAGAAACGAATGAACTAAAGGTATACGAATCATATAAGGTCCAGGGAAGGCAGAGAGAGCAAAACGCCATCAGTGAAATAGGAATCCGAAATATATTTTCTTTTGCAAAATCTAGAAACAAAAACCTCGGGCCGGCCTGCCGAGCGAACAGCACGCTGGACACGTGATCCTGCCCTGTTACCTAGCAGTAAATAGATACCTGGGAGTTAGTCAGCTGTCACGGGCTGCTTCCTGGGGGTGGAGGCCTGGTCGAGGACCGGGCCGCGGGGACACTAAAAAGCCCCGAAATCAACTCAAGATAACCTCAATAGATCTAGTAAAATGCGCAAAGGAGATGAAACTTTCACAGAAGCATCAATAAAGCATATTGCTTAACTTAACGAAATATTGAAGCAACAGTACGATTCTGTTTTCAGCGAGCCACTCAACACACAGAAGATAGATAACCCAAACGAATTATATATAGATTTTTAAGTTTTTTTAAATTTTGCCCCGAGGGTCTAGAGTATTGGGCAGCGCCACTCATCCTGTGAGTGGACACACCGCCATAGCAGCATGTACAACACCCACAATAGAAAGAGAACCCGCTGGGTTGTTCATCCTGTCACTCGTACCCAGACACAGCTGGGACTTGCTTAACTGGCTCAAGTGAACAGCTCCTCAAACTAGAAGATCAACATCTGTTAGCCATTAAAATCTTACGTTATCTTGCCGGTGCAAAATGGAGGAATCTTTCAAGAACAGTATCAAAATTTGACAAAATTTGACAAAAATAGTGTTTTCCTAACTCAAACAATGTGGGGTTTATTATTCTATTCACATTTCTTATGTTCCCGTCAGGTGTTCACATTCACGTAGATAATGGTCAAGACGGTGTCCGTCACTCTCATAACAGATTCTGCAACTCCGCTGAGCAACTGCTGTTTCCATTCCGAATCTCCATGGATATTTGTATCCAAGATGGATTCTCGCTATTACTGATTCTCTCCCGCGTCCTCCTCCTTCGGCCATAATGATTGGGATTGCCAGCTGCATCCATGTTGTACCATCGTACAGATTCACTTTTTTGTGCTTCTATCCTCCTTTCCTCAGTTACCTTGACACGGTGATGTTGCCTGACAATACCTTTAATTTGTAGTAGAGTCTTGGGTATGAAGTATTCAATATGGTCTACTTGGGGCCTCGTATACAGGCTACAAGGGGCCTCGTAGCCTGGTGGATAGCGTGCAGGACTCGTAATTCTGTGGCGCGGGTTCGATTCCCGCACGAGGCAGAAACAAATGGGCAAAGTTTCTTTCACCCTGAATGCCCCTGTTACCTAGCAGTAAATAGGTACCTGGGAGTTAGTCAGCTGTCACGGGCTGCTTCCTGGGGGTGGAGGCCTGGTCGAGGACCGGGCCGCGGGGACACTAAAGCCCCGAAATCATCTCAAGATACTTCAGCAGCCAGCACATCTGCTCGTTCATTTCCACATATTCCAACATGGGAGGGGATCCACAGAAACTTGATGACTCTTCCCTGATTGGTTAGTACCCTCACAGCTCTCATAATTTCAACGACTATCGCAAGATTTTCTGCCCGATTTTTACTTAGGCTTTGCAGTGCTGCTTTTGAATCGGTGCAAATCACTGCACCAATAGTGCTTCTTTCAAGGAATCTTAACACCATAACAATGGCAGTTAGTTCTGCTTGCGTTGAAGAGGCATAGTTCTCAATACGTGCTTTTCCTTCATTTCTGCGTTGAAAAGTATTATCCTTAGTTACAGTGTATGCTGCACCATTGACAAGATTTGATGACCCATCAGTGTAGATTTGGTCTAGTTCATTTCCGGCTTATTCATAAATTTCCTCGAGATACTTGTGGCTCATTTCTTGTGGGATGTTGGATTTTTTCGTTGCCATTTCATCAACATCTTTTTCATTGATGTGATGCGAACATCAAATCATATATCAGATTTGATACCCTATCCCCACTGGATTTTAAAAAAGCCATAGACAGTATGATACCTGCTTGATGGGGTTCTGGGAGTTCTACTCCCCAAGCCCAGCCCGGCCCGAGGCCAGGCTTGACTTTTGAGAGTTTGGTCCACCGGGCTGTTGACCAGACCACACACTAGAAATTGAAGGGACGACGACGTTTCGGTCCGTCCTGGACCATTCTCAAGTCGATTGTGATGAGGTAGGGACAGGCAATAAATAGGCGAGCGAGAGCTGAGGAGGAAAGTCAGGTGTAGGACATTTGGAGAGCTTTGAGACGATCCCAATAATTTAGGTGCTTTAAACACGCCTATGCCTATGCACTCTGCACCAGGACCTGATTCCTGGAGCTCTATATTCATCAAGAACTGTAAAAAAAGCCGCTATCGCAGGCCCGTCACATTCTGTGGAGACAAAGCCTAGATACTGGCGTTATCCCGGACATACTAAAAACAGCAGAGATAGCACCACTCCATAAAGGAGGAAATAAGGCAGAGGCAAAAAATTACAGACCGATAGCACTAACATCGCACATCATAAAAATCTTTGAGAGAGTGCTTAAAAGTAAGATCACAAAATACATGGAATCACAGCATCTCCATAACCCCGGACAACATGGTTACAGAACAGGGCGCTCTTGCCTGTCGCAGTTGCTGGACCACTATGACATGGCATTAGATGCCATGGAAGACAAACAAAACCCTGATGTAATTTACACAGATTTCGCAAAAGCCTTCGACAAATGTGACCATGGTGTTATTGCACATTAAATGCGTGCAAAAGGAATTACCGGGAAAAATAAGGAGATGGCTCTTCAATTTCCTCTTACCCTCCTCCTCTTCCGCCCCCTTCTCCCACCTCCTCTTCCGCCCGTTCTCCCACCTCCTCTTCCGCCCGTTCTCCCACCTCCTCTTCCGCCCGTTCTCCCACCTCCTCTTCCGCCCGTTCTCCCACCTCCTCTTCCGCCCGTTCTCCCACCTCCTCTTCCGCCCGTTCTCCCACCTCCTCTTCCGCCCGTTCTCCCACCTCCTCTTCCGCCCCGTTCTCCCACCTCCTCTTCCGCCCCCTTCTCCCACCTCCTCTTCCGCCCCCTTCTCCCACCTCCTCTTCCGCCCCCTTCTCCCACCTCCTCTTCCGCCCCCTTCTCCCACCTCCTCTTCCGCCCCCTTCTCCCACCTCCTCTTCCGCCCCCTTCTCCCACCTCCTCTTCCGCCCCCTTCTCCCACCTCCTCTTCCGCCCGTTCTCCCACCTCCTCTTCCGCCCCTTCTCCCACCTCCTCTTCCGCCCGTTCTCCCACCTCCTCTTCCGCCCGTTCTCCCGCCTCCTCTTCCGCCCCTTCTCCCACCTCCTCTTCCGCCCCTTCTACCACCTCCTCTTCCGCCCCCTTCTCCCACCTCCTCTTCCGCCCCCTTCTCCCACCTCTTCCGCCCGTTCTCCCACCTCCTCTTCCGCCCGTTCTCCCACCTCCTCTTCCGCCCGTTCTCCCACCTCCTCTTCCGCCCCTTCTCCCACCTCCTCTTCCGCCCCTTCTCCCACCTCCTCTTGTTATCGTCCTCGCAACTCTTGTTATCCAGCCTGTCAATTTTCCTGCAGCTGTGTCAGCTAATTTAATTGTGTTCTTTAAAACTAATGTTTAGATGTTTTTTATGTTGAATTAGTTTTTATCGTCGTTATCATCATAGTGCCAGAGCGGAACTCTCCTTCCTAAGAGTAGCCCGGCACTAGTACACTATTCTCCTCTAGGCACTTTTCATCACCCACGTCCCTCACTGTTCCTTCTCCTCTCCTTCCTTCTCCTACCATTCCCTTCTTTCTCATTCCTCTGCCTTCTCTACTGCCAGCAGCCTAACCCACCCGCCGCACCCTTCTTCATCATTTGATCTTAACAAATCTTGGGTGATAACACTGTCGGAAACTGACTCTGGACCTGAAGCGTTGGCGCAGTTTGTTCCGACTTAAAGGCCTTATATAACTGAGTGTCCATGTTAAGGAGCGAGACACACACCACCGCCTTTATATACTACACTTTGCAAACTAAATCGGTTAAAGTTGATTTTGTTTAAGTTTAATGTGTAAATTAAAATACTTAAAATAAAACGTCATGTAATTGGAAACTTACAATGTGTGTACATGTGGCAACTGGTGCCTGGGCGCTGGAACATGTGGCAGCTGGTGCCTGGGCGCTGGAACATGTGGCAGCTGGTGCCTGGGCGCTGGAACATGTGGCAACTGGTGCCTGGACGCTGGAACATGTGGCAGCTGGTGCCTGGGCGCTGGAACATGTGGCAACTGGTGCCTGGGCGCTGGAACATGTGGCAGCTGGTGCCTGGGCGCTGGAACATGTGGCAGCTGGTGCCTGGGCGCTGGAACATGTGGCAACTGGTGCCTGGGCGCTGGAACATGTGGCAGCTGGTGCTTGGGCGCTGGAACATGTGGCAACTGGTGGCTGGGCGCTGGAACATGTGGCAGCTGGTGCCTGGGTGCTGGAACATGTGGCAACTGGTGCCTGGGCGCTGGAACATGTGGCAGCTGGTGCCTGGGCGCTGGAACATGTGGCAACTGGTGCCTAGGCGCTGGAACATGTGGCAACTGGTGTCTGGGCGCTGGAACATGTGGCAACTGGTGTCTGGGCGCTGGAACATGTGGCAACTGGTGCCTGGGCGCTGGAACATGTGGCAACTGGTGCCTGGGCGCTGGAACATGTGGCAACTGGTGCCTGGGCGCTGGAACATGTGGCAACTGGTGCCTGGGCGCTGGAACATGTGGCAACTGGTGCCTGGGCGCTGGAACATGTGGCAACTGGTGCCTGGGCGCTGGAACATGTGGCAACTGGTGTCTGGGCGCTGGAACATGTGGCAACTGGTGCCTGGGCGCTGGAACATGTGGCAACTGGTGCCTGGGCGCTGGAACATGTGGCAACTGGTGCCTGGGCGCTGGAACATGTGGCAACTGGTGCCTGGGCGCTGGAACATGTGGCAACTGGTGCCTGGGCGCTGGAACATGTGGCAACTGGTGCCTGGGCGCTGGAACATGTGGCAACTGGTGCCTGGGCGCTGGAACATGTGGCAGCTGGTGCCTGGGCGCTGGAACATGTGGCAGCTGGTGCCTGGGCGCTGGAACATGTGGCAGCTGGTGCCTGGGCGCTGGAACATGTGGCAGCTGGTGCCTGGGCGCTGGAACATGTGGCAACTGGTGCCTGGGCGCTGGAACATGTGGCAACTGGTGCCTGGGCGCTGGAACATGTGGCAGCTGGTGCCTGGGCGCTGGAACATGTGGCAACTGGTGCCTGGGCGCTGGAACATGTGGGAGGAGGTCCCAGTGTGTCAGTATGGGAGTGGAGGAGAGTGGGAGGTCCCTCCGGGCGCTGTTGAGTGCCCAAGTAGGAGCCTCGGAGCGCCGCTAAAGTTACATGCTTTCAGGAAAGTCTGCATTCTTTTATTTTTTTTTTTCAAGGAATAGCTGTGGTCGTCCTGTGTAATGGAGTCATTAAGGGAAAATCACCGTGCTCTTAGGGAAGGTATACTCTCAAATTAGAAGGCTTTTTATATATAAGGTAAATTTCATTGACATTGGGCACCAGGGGCCTGGAAGACCAGACCTCCGGCACGGGAGACGGTCGCTCTATCAACTGCACCACTAGGCTAGCCTTAAAAGGAAAGGATCCCAAGACAACTAACCGCAGCATAATGTCGGAAAGTTCCGGTATAGGAGGTCGAGGGTTCGAGGCTCCTAGTATCCAGGTGAATGACACGTTACTAGCCAGGGTATTGTGGTCACAATACCCTGGCTAGTTATCAGATAACTGTTATCAGATAACAGTTTATAAGGGACATATCTGGCCCACCTCTCACCGTCTTCAAAAGAAAACTTGGTAAAAGCCTTCAATGACACCTGGTCAACCAACCTGTGATTCATACGTCTGGCTGCCAGCAGCTGAATATAAGAGCCTGGATGCCTGCTCAGAGACCGGGCCGTGGTGTTATTGATTCTCGGAACCTTAACCTAACAATTAACAAAATTAATTATTTTAAAAAGATGCTCATACGTGTTCAAATAAGTTACACAAGTTCCTGCAAGACGTGTCGGACCTTCTCCCCCTCCCCCCTCTTACCTTCTCCCCCTCTTACCTTCTCCCCCTCTTACCTTCTCCCACCCCCTCTTACCTTCTCCCACCCCCCTCTTACCTTCTCCCACCCCCCTCTTACCTTCTCCCACCCCCTCTTACCTTCTCCCACCCCCCTCTTACCTTCTCCCACCCCCTCTTACCTTCTCCCACCCCCCTCTTACCTTCTCCCACCCCCCTCTTACCTTCTCCCACCCCCCTCTTACCTTCTCCCACCCAACTCTTACCTTCTCCCACCCAACTCTTACCTTCTCCCACCCCCCTCTTACCTTCTCCCACCCCCCTCTTACCTTCTCCCACCCCCTCTTACCTTCTCCCACCCCCTCTTACCTTCTCCCACCCCCCTCTTACCTTCTCCCACCCAACTCTTACCTTCTCCCACCCCCTCTTACCTTCTCCCACCCCCCTCTTACTTTCTCCCACACCCCTCTTACCTTCTCCCACCCCCTCTTACCTTCTCCCACACCCCTCTTATCTTCTCCCACACCCCTCTTACCTTCTCCCACACCCCTCTTACCTTCTCCCACACCCCTCTTACCTTCTCCCACACCCCTCTTCCCTTCTCCCACACCCCTCTTCCCTTCTCCCACACCCCTCTTACCTTCTCCCACACCCCTCTTACCTTCTCCCACACCCCGCTTACCTTCTCCCACACCCCTCTTACCTTCTCCCACCCCCTCTTACCTTCTCCCACACCCCTCTTACCTTCTCCCACACCCCTCTTACCTTCTCCCACCCCCTCTTACCTTCTCCCACACCCCTCTTACCTTCTCCCACACCCCTCTTACCTTCTCCCACCCCCCTCTTACCTTCTCCCACCCCCCTCTTACCTTCTCCCACCCCCCTCTTACCTTCTCCCCCAACCCTCTTACCTACTCCCACCCTCCCTCTTACCTACTCCCACACCCCTCTTACCTTCTCCCCACCCCCTCTTACCTTTTCCCACCCCCCCCCTTACCTTCTCCCACCCCCCCCTTACCCCTTATGCCCATATTTGCATATTCCATGTGTATAGAATTTGCAAATATTCTTAGTTTTTATTTTTTTCCGGTTATTTATACCTGCGCTTGTCTTGGCCGCCTCTTTATTGAAGCCATCTCCGTTTTTCGTCCCAATTCTTTCTTTTATGCATTCTTTCCCACTGTTGCTCTCATTGATTTTATTACCTGGCTCTGCAGTATTGCTCTTGTCTTGTACTATGTTATAAATGGGGGATCTGTAAGCATGGGATATCGGGGAGAACAAATGGACTATGTAAATATGATCATCCCAGAAAGTGCGGGACCCTTCTTAGTACAGCTAAATGTACCAAAAGCTGTAATCTCTCTCACTCAGAACTGTGCAAGAACTCTTTTAATAAGAATGAATGTTTCAACACAACCTACCTACCTACCTTGAGGTGCTTCCGAGGCTTAGTGTCCCCGCGGCCCGGTCGTCGACCAGGCCTCCTGGTTGCTGGACTGATCAACCAGGCTGTTAGACGCGGCTGCTCGCAGCCTGACGTATGAGTCACAGCCTGGTTGATCAGGTATTCTTTGGAGGTGCTTATCCAGTTCTCTCTTGAACACTGTGAGGGGTCGGCCAGTTATGCCCCTTATGTGTAGTGGAAGCGTGTTGAACAGTCTCGGGCCTCTGATGTTGATAGAGTTCTCTCTCAGAGTACCTGTTGCACCTCTGCTCTTCAACGGGGGTATTCTGCACATCCTGCCATGTCTTCTGGTCTCATGTGGTGTTATTTCTGTGTGCAGGTTTGGGACCAGCCCCTCAATTATTTTCCACGTGTAAATTATTATGTATCTCTCCCGCCTGCGCTCAAGGGAGTACAGATTTAGGCTCTTTAGTCGGTCCCAGTAATTTAGATGTTTTACTGAGTGGATTCTAGCAGTAAAGGATCTCTGCACGCTCTCTAGGTCAGCAATTTCTCCAGCTTCAATTTCACCTCCAAAGGATACCTGATCAACCAGGCTGTGACTCATACGTCAGGCTGCGAGCAGCCGCGTCTAACAGCCTGGTTGATCAGTCCAGCAACCAGGAGGCCTGGTCGACGACCGGGCCGCGGGGACACTAAGCCCCGGAAGCACCTCAAGGTAGCCTCAAGGTAGGTAGCTTTGAAAGGGGCTGTCATTGTGCAGCAGTACTCCACTCTAGAGAGCACAAGCGTTTTGAAAAGTATCATCATCGGTATAGCATCTCTAGTGTGAAAAGTTCTTGTTATCCAACCTGTCATTTTTCTTGCAGTTGTGACGGCTACTTTATTGTGTTCTTTAAAGGTAAGGTCTTCCGACATGAGTACACCCAGGTCCTTTACATTGCCTTTTCGTTCTATGTTATGATTTGCCTGCGTTTTGTACGTGGTTTCTGTTTTTATATTTTCAATTTTTCCGTAGCGCATGAGCTGAAACTTATCCTCGTTGAATACCATATTATTTTCTGTAGCCCATAGAAAGACCTGATCTACATCTGATTGGAGGTTTGCCGTGTCCTCTATGTTGCCAACTCTCATGAAAATCCTAGTGTCATCTGCAAAGGATGATACAGTGCTATAGGTTGTGTTCTGGTCTATGTCCGATATGAGGATGAGAAAAAGTACTGGAGCAAGCACAGTACCCTGGGGGACTGAGCTCTTCACGGTTGATGGGCTGGATTTTATTTTGTTGACTATTACACATTGGGTTCTGTCAGTCAGGAAATTGTAGATCCATCTGCCTATTTTCCCGGTAATTCCTTTTGAACGCATTTTATGTGCAATAACACCATGGTCACATTTATCAAAAGCTTTTGCGAAATCTGTGTAAATTACATCAGCGTTTTGTTTGTCTTCCATGGCATCTAATGGACAAAACAATGTCCAGCTTTTCATATACAAGGTACCAAGAGAATAAAACCGACAAACCACCTTGATGAAAGCAGCCACAACATCATGGACACATTGTCCAGGATGAATTTTTAGCAAGAGGAGGAAGAGAAGAATGGCTAAAAATGACCAGACTCTACCACCAACTCGGTCACATGCTAGAGAGGACACAAACACAGTGGCCTCCTTACCAGAGCCTCAGATATTAACACCAAGTAAAGCATCCAGCACTTCCACTAACACGATAACATCATTTATATTTGCCAACATTCAGGGTATAAAAACATGTAAATCTAGCAAAGTGCACTTCATAGATGGCCTCCTACATAAGGCAAATGCAGTGTTTGCAGCCCTAACGGAAACTCTCACCAAGGTCTACCATGATGGTGAAATATGGTTCTCAGAGTACAATCTTTTCAGATGTGACAGGAAACACTGGCTGCAGGGTGGGGTCAGCCTGTACATCAAGGACACACTCATCTGTACTGAGCTGCTAAACACCACAAATGATATGGTGGAAGTGCTGATAGTCAAAATAGAGATCTTAATTAAATTAAAGTAGTTATTGTCCTTGTATATAAGACACCGGAGGCAAATCATCAGAAGTTTAAAGACTAAGCAATGAAAATAGAACACTGCTTGGAAAACCTCACAAATCCTGCCCCAAACATCATCCTACTTGGGGACTTCAACCTACGGCACCTGAAATGGAAGACCATAGCAGATACATTTATATCAGAGATAATTCCGGGAAGTAGCCTAAATGAACAGGCACATGCAAATGACCTGCTACGGATGTGCGACAGGTTTGCCTTAAACCAACAAATAGTAGAACCAACTAGGAAGGAGAACACGCTGGACCTCATTTTCACTAATAATGATGAGTTGATCGGGAACATAATGATTACAAATACCTGTTATTCAGATCACAACTTAATTGAAGTTCTGACAACCATGGGGAATAGACCTTCAAAACCAGTCCAGATTCCCGGTGGAGGAGATTTCAGGAAATTCAACTAAAATAATAAACAGATAAACTGGGAGCAAATAAACCAGGACTTCACAGAAATAAGCTTGTAAGAACAGCTAGAAACTGCAAACTTGAACCAGTGCCTGGAAAAAATAAACTCTGTAGCACTAGAAATATGTTCAAACCGCATACCCCTAAGAAAAAAGAGGAAGTGATGCAGATTGGAACGGGACGTCACCCTATCCCCACTAGATTTTGAAGAAGCCATAAACAGTATGCCTATGCACTCTACACCAGGCCTTGATTCTTGGAACTTTATATTCATCAAGAACTGTTAAAAAACCGCTATCGCAGGCCCGTCACATTCTTTGGAGACAAAGCCTAAATACTGGCGTTATCCCTGACATCTAAAAACAGCAGAGATAGCACCACTCCATAAAGCAGGAAATAAGGCAGAGGCAAAAAATTACAGACCGATAGCACTAACATCGCACATCATAAAAATCTTTGAGAGTGCGCTAAGAAGTAAAATCACAAAATACATGGAATCACAGCATCTCCATAACCCCGGACAACATGGTTTCAGAACAGGGCGCTCTTGAATGTCACAGTTGCTGGACCACTATGACATGGCATTAGATGCCATGGAAGACAAAACGCTGATGTAATTTACACAGATTTCGCAAAAGCCTTTGACAAATGTGACCATGGTGGTGTTGCACATAAAATGCGTTCAAAAGGAATTACCGGAAAAAAGGCAGATGGATCTACAATTTCCTGACTAATAGAACCCAATGTGTAATAGTCAACAAATTAAAATATGGACCATCAACCGTGAAGAGCTCAGTCCCCCAGGGTACTGTGCTTGCTTCAGTACTTTTCTCATCCTCATATCAGACATAGACAAGAACACAACCTATAGTACTGTATCATCCTTTGCAGATGACACTAGGATCTTCATGAGAGTAGGCAACATAGAGGACACGGCAAACCTCCAATCAGATGTAAATCAGGTTTTTATATGGGCTACAGAAAATAATATGGTGTTTAACGAAGTTAAGTTCCAGCTCATGCGCTACGGAAAAAATTAAAATATAAAAACGGAAACCACGTACAAAACTCAGGCAAATCATAACATAGAACGAAAAGGCAATGTAAAGGACCTGGGTGTACTCATGTCGGAAGACCTTACATTTAAAGAATACAATAAAGTAGCCGTCACAACTACAAGAAAAATGACAGGTTGGATAACAAGAACCTTTCACACTAGAGATGCTATACCGATGATGATACTTTTCAAAACCCTAGTGCTCTCTAGAGTGGAGTACTGCTGCACAATGACAGCCCCTTTCAAAGCTAGAGAAATTGTTGACCTGGAGAGCGTGCAGAGATCCTTTACTGCTAGAATCCACTCAGTAAAACATATAAACTACTGGGACCGACTAAAGAGCCTAAATCTGTATTCTCGTGAGAGCAGGCGGGAGAGATACATAGTATTTTCCATATACACATGGAAAAATAGTAGAGAAGCTATTCCCAAACCTGCACACAGAAATAACACCACATGAGACCAGTAGACATGGCAGGATGTGCAGAATACCCCCGTTGAAAAGCGGAGGTGCAACAGGTACTCTGAGAGAGAACTATCAACATCAGAGGTCCGAGACTGTTCAACACGCTTCCACTACACATAAGGGGCATAACTGGCCGACCCCTCACAGTGTTCAAGAGAGAACTGGATAAGCACCTCCAAAGGATACCTGATCAACCAGGCTGTGACTCATACGTCAAGCTGCGAGCAGACATGTCCAACATCCTGGTTGACCAGTCCAGCAACGAGGAGGCCTGGTCGACGACCGGGCCTCGGGGTCGCTGATCCCCGAAAATCACCTCAAGGTAACCTCAAGGTAAGATACCACAATACCCTCTCCCTCCACACTACAGCTGTGGTTCTCTAAACTACCTGTTCTTGGGTTGGTGGTTCTCCAGTGGTGTTTGTTCACGGTCCGCATGCCTCGCTGGGAGCTTTTTGTGAGTGTTAATCTCTGTGACTCGGGTATGGCATTGATCACTTGGTGATGTTTTCCCAGATTAACTTGTCATTGTTGCACACCCAGTATTTTCCTTGTCTGTGCATGTTGTAGATAATTCTGCACAGCTCGGGAGAAGTCTAGTGTTACAGATGCAACACTTGACACCTATAATGTCTTCCAAATGCATCAAACCATTATCTGGTCACCATTATCTGGTCACCATTATCTGGTCACCATTATCTCCACACCATTAATGGCCACTATGGTGACCATTAATTCTCAAGCACTTAGGGAATACATTCTTTTACTACTAGCAGGCAGGTGTGTTTATTATAGCCG